TACAGCAGGGTGTTGTAACAGACATGCGGCTGTCTGCCCACCTGCCTGTTTGCAGGCTCAGCGCTTAGTCCCCCAAGCCCCTCCAACCCCCTCGTCTGTCCTTCCCCTGCTCCCAGTCATCAGGAAGAGCTCACAGATTTGGAGAGGAACCAGGTTCAGAGGGGAACTGAGTGCTCTACCCTGAGAAGGAGCTCCTGAAAGGCTTCCCTCCTTTTCTCTCCCTTTATCCATAAAACACCCAGAGCCCTACTTCCTGCCTTTGCTGATGATAACCATTCATTTCTGGAAACAATCAGTTATTTCTGCTCTCATGAGTTAGTGTCTTTTCCTTTTTTAATTATACTTTAAGTCCTGGGACACACGTGTAGAACGTGCAGGTTTGTTACATAGGTATACACGTTCCATGGTGGTTTGCTGAGTTAGTGTCTTTTCTTGCTGGGAAAAACTCCAGTCAAACCCTTCACTTCATCTCCTTGTTCTTAGAGCATTAGCTCGTGGATCTGAGAGTTGGAATCCCTCTTGACTGGGTAGTCATGGCTTTTTGTTTTTTATGAAATGGAGTCTTGCTCTGTTGCCAGGCTGGAGTGCAGTATCGAAATCTTGGCTCACCGCACTTCTGCCCCCCAGGTTCAAGTGATTCTCCTGCCTCAGCTTCCCAAGTAGCTGGGACTAAAGGCACAAACCACCATGCCCTAGCTAATATATGTATTTTTTGTATTTTTAGTAGAGATAGGGTTTCATCATGTTGGCCAGGATGGTCTAGATCTCTTGACCTTGTGATCCACCCACCTCAGCCTCTCAAAGTGCTGGGATTGCAGGTGTGAGCCACCATGCCCGGCCAGTCTTGGCTTCTTTGTGTGGCTCCAGGGCTCCAGGGAGGCATGCTGAAGGCCTGAGAAGGGGCTGGGGTGGGATAGGGAAGGCTTGAGGGCCTGTCTGTGGCTGCCGTGACCCTCACGTTGGGAAACCCCCATCACTCCGGTGCCTGAGAATCCCTGTGCCTTTTGCATTTGTTCTCCCTGTTTCTTTGGGCTTGAGTAAGGCTGTGGATTTGTGGCTTCTCTTGTACTCAAGAAATCTGCCTATACCCACAGAATTTCTTCTGCCCTGGGGCTGGGCCCCTTTTTAAGTCTGAAAAATGCAACAATATCAGAGTGAATTATACACATGTATAACATGCAGTTGCTGGTTATACATATGCAGTATCAGGATGAGTTATGCACATAGAGCCTGCACAGGCATACACATGTATCAGGCGGGTTATGCACACTTAGAGCATACACATGCAGTGTCAGCATAAGTTAGGATGAGCTTATGTGTGATCACAGGAATTCTGAGTGTGACCCTTAGGAGTCCCTGTTTCAGTCAAGCAGGCAACTTGGTGCCATAGGGCAGTGAAGCCAAGTAGGGAGTGCAGAGGAAGGAGGCAGAGTGAGGGCCTTGGGCTTCTGGCACAAGGTCTTGGGTGGTGCCGGGGGGTGGGGCTGAGGGGCCTCACACACTCCAGGAGGAAGTGTGTTCAGGCCTAGCGGGCTGGGCTTCTCAAACACCACCTTACGGAGACAGCAGAAGATGTGAGTGTGGGGGGAACTGTGCATATTGGGGAGTTGGGGGAACTGCCAGTTCTGTGTCTTCTCCTGCCTCCCAGGACCCAGCCCAGGAGGCTGAATGCAGGGAAGTTATTTCAGCAGCATATCCTTCACCCACCACTGTTTCTGGAGGACCCTGACCTCTCCATCCACCTCCAAGCACCACCCTGGCACTTGCTCATCCTGGGTTTGTGAGGTGACCCTTCATCCCCTAGAGATGTCTGTTTGGCTAGGGCCAGCCGGTGGGACTGCAGCTTCCCAGCATCTGCTCCTCTCTTCTGGAGGCGGCTACACCACGGTTTCTTCACCTGTGAAATGGAGATGATGGTAGCCTGGAGACTTTGGGATGAGTCAGCTTGCCTAGGCTGAATGGTATTCTTAGAGTTCCTTTTCTTGGGTGTGTCTTGTTATCGTGGGTCACTGAGAGCTTCCCGTGTGGGGTTTGGGGGTGGGTGGGAGAAGCAGCCCTCTTTGTAGCTCACACAGACTGTTGTGGCCCTGCTGACTCATGACGCTGATGTGAGGTGGTGGCCAGGCCTGCACCTGCCACCCTCCTCTGGAGCCCCCTTCAGTCTCTAGGCCCTGAGCCAGGCATATGTGTTCAGTTCCAGGATGAAGGATCTTGGCTTTGGCAGGATGCCCAGACCAGCAACTTCAGAAGCAACAAGAACTGACATTGGTTTCAGTCTGTCTGTCCTCGGCTCTCCAGCCTGTGCTTACGGATTCTGACTCGCCCTTGATCTCCCCCACTTTACCTCCATGCTTCTTTCCCAACCATCTCCCCTGCAAACCTCAAGCCCCAGCATCAGATGGGAAGACAGCTGCTTTATAGACACTGCTTACCCAGTGCTCACGACTGCTTAAGGTCAAATCCCCAAAACAAAGCCCTTCACATGTGTCAGAAGGGTCTCTCTCTCTCTCTCTACCATCTATCTATGTGTCCATGTATCTATCCATCAATCATCTATCTACTATCTATTGTATATCTATTTACCTATCTATTATTTACTATTTACCTATCATCTATCTATCATCTATCTATCTATCTATCTATCTATCTATCTATCTATCTATCTATCTAGCTAGCTAGCTAGCTATCTACTGACCCAGGTAGACATGTATTGCCTCATGAGGTCGGAAATGAATGAAGCCCAGATACTTGAAAGCATTTGGTAACTGTAGGGTAGTGGTTCTTCAACTTGAGGACCCATCAGAATTGCATGGAGGGCTTGTTAAAATCCAGAGTGCTGGGTCCCACCCCTGGAGTTTCTGGTTCTCAGGTCTGGAGTGGGGCCTGAGAATTTCATTGGTAAAGCTGCCAGGTGATGCTGATGCTGCGGATCTGGGGACCACACCTGAGAACCACTGCTGTAAGGCGTAGTATGTGAAGGTGAGGGGTTACTGCAGCCCACACAGCGATCCTGGCAGGGTAGTTGCAGCAGTGCCTTCCCTGAGGCAATAGGAATCTGGGCAATCTGAGGACACTCCAGGATCACAGGGCCAGGGAGGAGACATGGAGCCTTGCTTGCGTCTGCTCCTCAGCCTGCTTTGGGGATGAAAGCACAGGGCCCCTGCTTTCTGGGAGGCAGACTGGTCGGAAGGGAGAGGCCAGGCTCAGGAATAGTGGACCCAAGGGTGAATCCTGGCCCTGTCGGCCTGTAGCTGGTACTCCCAGGCAAGCATCCTGCTCTGTGAGTCAGGATAATGATGCCTCACCTGGTTTTCAAGAATCAGATACAAATGAAGTCCCTGTTGAATAAATGCTACTTTACCATGGCTCTCTGACTTGGCTTTTGCTATTGCTTGAAGAACATGCAATTGAGGTTTTGAACCTAAAATTGAGACTTTACATTGACCTCGATTAAGTTGAGTTTGGCTGGTTTTAATCCATCATCCCAGGCTGCTGAGATGCACCTGAGCCTTCAGCCTGTCAATTGGCATATTAGTGGTCCCTCCCCAGTTACTGGTGGCCTGCCGGCTCTTCCTTCCTTAGCATTGCTGACACTAGATTGCATTTTTTTTTTTTTTTTTTTTTTTTGAGATTTGCTCTGTAGCAGGCTGGAGTGCAATGGCATGATCTCTGCTCACTGCAACCTCCACCTCGCTGGTTCAAGCCATTCTCCTGCCTCAGCCTCCCAAGTACCTGGGAATACAGGCATGCACCACCATGCCTGGCTAATTTTTGTATTTTTAGTAGAGACGGGGTTTCACCATGTTGGCCAGGATGGTCTTGATCTCTTGACCTTGTGATCTGCCCACCTCGGGCTTCCAAAGTGCTGGTATTTCAGGCATGAGCCACAATGCCCAGCCTTGTTTGCATGTTTTAGGGCACACAGTGGGGTAGGGGAGCAAAGTTTGCTCCTGTAGTCAGGGAAGAATTCTCAACTCAGCAGTTTTGCAGCTCTGAACTGGGAAGCTGCCTTCAAAGTTCTGGGCTGGTCTTGAACTCCTGACCTCAAGTGATCCACCTGCCTCGGCCTCCCAAAATGCTGGGATTACAGGCATGAGCCACCACACTTCTTGAGGAAGCCGCTTTCTTTGTACCCAAATTAGAAACACCTCATGCCTGTAATCCCAGCATTTTGGGAAGCTGAGGCAGGTGGATCACCTGAGGTTAGGCGTTTGAGACCAGCCTGACCAACATGGTGAAACCCCGTCTCTACTAAAAATACAAAATTAGCTGGGCGTGGTGGTGGGCGCCTGTAATCCCAGCTATTCAGGAGGCTGAGGCAGGAGAATCCCTTGAACTCAGAAAGTGGAGGTTGCAGTCAGCTGAGATTTCACATGGCATTGCAATCCAGCCAGGGCAACAAAAGCAAAACTCCATCTCCAAAAAAAAAAAAAAAAGCTGGGCATTGTGGCTCATGCCTGTTAATCCCAGCACCATGGGGGGCCGAGGTGGGTGGAGGATCACCTGAGACTGGGAGAGTTTGAGACCAGCCTGACCAACATGGAGAAACCCTGTAGCTACTAAAAAAAAAAATACAAAATTAGCTGGGCATGGTGGTGCATGCCTATAGTCGAAGCTACTTGTGAGGCTGAGGCAGGAGAATTGCTTGAACCTGGGAGGCAGAGGTTGTGGTGAGCCAAGATCACACCATTGCACTCCAGCCTGGGCAACAAGAGTGAAACTCTGTCTCTAAATACATACATACATACATAAAACAAAATAAAATAAAAATAAATGTTTGAAGTGGTGGATGCGGGAAGGGTCCCCTGTACTAATGTTCTGGTTTGTTGCCCACCTGAACACTGACTGTGTGTGCACCCAAAGCTGAGAGGACACCAGACCTAAGATGTGGTTTCTAGCTCCCAGGCAGCCTAGGCGACCAGCTTCGAGAGCGAGTGCTTGTGGGGGGGCCCCCTTCACTGACACTCTTCCCCATGAATAAACTACCAAAGGGAGAGAGAGAACTTGAGAACACACTTCTTATAACACTATTTTCAGGGATTGAGTGGGGCCCAAGGGGAAAACAGCCAGGTGCTCCCCAGCAGGAAGGCACAGGGGCGTCGGTCCCCGCTGGACTGACTGGACTGCAGGTTCCCGGCTTATCCTCTCATGGTTTCCGTCTCAGGACGTTCTGGAACCAGGCTGCCGCCTTAGACTCGGACTTGCTGTTGTTCCTTCTTTTTCACCTCTACCCAGATGTCTGACAGGTCTTGGATAAACTGCTGGATCTAAAAAGGCAAGGAGCCCAGCGTTAATTCCGTCCCCCAGAGGCATCCCTCCTCCCAAGATGGAGCATCCCAGGCATTTACTTGTAAAGAGTACATGGTGCGTCATCACTTTATTGTGACTGACTGTTTTTTTTTTTTTGATACGAGAGTCTTGCTCTGTCACTGAGGGTGGAGTGCAGTGGCAAAATCTAGGCTCACTGCAATCCCTGCTCCCTGCGTTCAAGTGATTCTCATGTCTCAGCCTCCGGAGTAGCTGGGATTACAGGTGATACCACTTTGCCTGGCTAATTTTTGTGTTTTTAGTAGAGATGGTTTTCACCATGTTGGCCAGGCTGGTCTTGAACTCCTGACCTCAAGTGATCCACCCGCCTCGGCCTCCCAAAATGCTGGGATTACAGGCATGAGCCAGCACACTTCTTGAGGAAGCCGCTTTCTTTCATTTGACAATGTTTTGAGGTGAAATTGAGTGTCAGGTGAAGCCAATTAGAAGCAACAAACAGGGATGGAGCTGGGAACTTCTAGAAGCAGGCCTGGTGATGTGTGACGTCCAGGCTGAGAATCAAACAGGAGGAAGAAGAAAGGGTCACAAGCAGGCTCATGGATAAAAAGGATTTGGCAGGCAGGGTCCTGTCAGCATGGGCAGACCACCTTCCACAACTTCACTACCCTCAAGGTGATTGTGCGCTCAAAACCCAGAGCTGATGCTCATCGTGATAACCTTGAGTCATGAAAAGAAACATAAATTCTGTTCACTGGCTTCTGTTTTGTTTTTTTCCTTTTTTTTTTTTTTTTTTTTGAGATGGAGTTTTACTCTGTTAACCTTGAGTCATGAAAAGAAATGTAAATTCTGTTCACCGGCTTCTGTTTTGTTTTTCCTTTTTTTTTTTTTCTTTTTGAGACGGAGTGTCGCTCTGTTGCCCAGGCTGGAGTGCAGTGGTGTGATCTTGGCTCACTGCAACCTCCACCCCCTGGTTCAAGCGATTCTTCTGCTTCAGCCTCCTGAGTAGCTGGGATTACAGGTGGCTGCCACCACGCCCAGCTAATTTTTGTATTTTTAGTAGAGACAGGTTTCACCATTTTGGTCAGGCTGGTCTCAAACTCCTGACCTCGTGATCTACCCACCTCAGCCTCCCAAAGTTGAGAGGGATTACAGGCGTGAGCCACTGTGCCTGGCCCTGGCTTCTGTTTTAAAGAGCATAGTCAGCATAACACAGAAAAGGGTGCTACTCCAGAAGTCAGATGACTAGCTGCGCCCCCATCGTAGTTCTGGGGAAATCACTCCATCTTTCTGGGACTCAGTTTCTTCATCTTTAATAAGGAGAGAGGGAGAACAGATTGGCCCAGACAGCCTCTAAGATATTAGTTCTAATGCAAACTAAAACCACAATGAGATACCATCTTACACCACTCAGAATGGCTATTACTAAAAAGTCAAAAAATTACAGATGCTGCTGAGGTTGTGGAGAAAAGGGAACATTCACACACTGTTGGTGGAAGTGCAAATTAGTTCAACCATTGTGAAAAACAGTGTGGCGATTCCTCAAAGAGTTAAAAGTAGAACTACTGTTCAACCCAGCAATCTTGTTACTGGGCATATACCCAAAGAAATATACATCATTCTACCACAAACACACATGCACGGGATGTTTACTGAAACACTATTCACAATAGCAAAGAGATACAATCAACCTAAATGCCCATCAATGGTAGACTAGATAAAGAAAATGTGGTACTTATACACCATGGAATACTATGTAGCCATAAAATAGAATGACATCATGTCCTTTGTGGGAACAGGGATGGAGCTGGAGGTCATTATCCTTCGCATACTAGTGCAGGAACAGAAAACCAAATACTGCGTGTTCTCATTTAGTAGTGGGAGCTAAATGATGAGAACCTGTGGATACAAAGAGGGGAACCATAGACACTGGAGCCTGCTTGAAGGTGGAGAGTGGGAGGAGGGAGAGCATCAGAAAAAATAACTATTGGATACTAGGCTTAGTATCTGGTTGATGAAATAATCTGTACAACAAACCCTTGTGACATGAGTTTACCTATATAACAAACCTGCTCATGTCCTCCTGAACCTAAAATAAAAGTTAAAAAAGATTTCAGTTCTAAAACTTCTGTTTTTCAAGGCTGTCTCTGGAGATGAAAGTACGCAGACTGTCCAAAGCTCTTGACAACTGTCAGCTGCTGACACTGTTACTATTACCAATATCATTCCCATTGTGCAAATGAGAAAACAAAGAGTCAATGAATTAAAGCAGCTTTCCCAAGAAGACAGGTCAGCATTTCTTCAGCTATGTTCTCGTAATAAATGGTCACATGCCTCAAAGGAGTTCTGTGGTCAAGTCAGTTTTAGAAACACTGTCTGCTGGGAGCATCTCAGGGCATAGCAAAGACTCCAAGTCCTGTTTGTTTTTTAAAATCTTATCTTCGTTTAATTTCAAGTTTTCTAAATCTATTAGTCTATGGAGTCCGCTTATTCCCCCTAGGAAACAGTATCTCAGGATTCAGTTTGGAAAGTGCTTGTTCAGATAGTTTGGCTTTTCTTCAGGGATAATGCCAAACCTTCCATGACACACTCTATGGAATTCAAATTGCCCTGGCCTTCTGCAGAATCACTTTTCCTAAGCTGTCCTGTGCACCACGTTCCTTGTTCTGTATAAGCAGCTGCTTTACAAAGCCCGTGCCTGCATTGCTTGCAGGGATGCTGTTGAGGACATCATAAAATGTCAATGAAGGCTCATCAGGAAATTTCTGTGAGAGCTAACTGCCAGGAAGAGGAAACCTTATCTTTTCTTATTCTAGTATAAGAACTACTGGTGGCTTTTCATTTGGGTTGCCAGGAAGCTGGCAATTAACTGCCCCCGTCTAAGGCCCTTAAGAACCAAGGGCAGTCTGTATTTCTCTCCGTCCTTGACCTCTGATTTCAACTTGTACTTTCCCAGGTCCTTAATTTTAAATCTTTAGGCTACTTGGTCATGTGTATTTCCATGAGTAGCTTCATCTCCTATGGGAACGAAGTGAGATATTTTCAAATAACTTTTGGGCAATGTGAAGTTCTCCTGTAGAGGTAAATCCAAGTTGAGAGGGATTCAGAAACTCAAAATTTGGAGTGGATGGACTAGAAGCTATGGTCTCAGCAGGGGATGCACTTGTGTGAGCGAGGGGGTGGAGAGCGGCACCTCCCACTGAATCTTGAGAGTTTTGCTCTTGCTGCCCAGGCTGGAGTGCAATGGCGCAATCTCAGCTCACTTCAACCTTCAGCTCCTGGGTTGAAACGATTCTCCTGCCACAGCTGCCTGAGTAGCTGGGATTACAGGCACTTGCCACCATGCCTGGCTAATTTTTGTATATTTAGCAGAGACGGGGTTTTACCGTGTTGTCCAGCCTGGTCTTGAACTCCTGACCTCAGGTGATCCGGCCACCTTGGCCTCCCAAAGTGCTGGGATTACAGGTGTGAGCCATGGCACCCCACCATCCTGCTGCATCTTTCTTCACAACAGCTAAGGGCAGGAGCCTGAGGACCTCTGGGTGGCCGAGGGGAGGGGGACTGAGTTTTTTTTTTGAGAGGAAGTCTCACTCTGTCACCCAGACTGGAGTACAGTGGCTCGGTCTCGGCTCACTGCAACCTCTGCGTCCCGGGTTCAAGTGATTCTCCTGCCTCAACCTCCCCAGTAGCTGTGATTACAGGTGCCCGCAACCATGCCTGACTAATTTTTGCATTTTTAGTAGAGATGGGGTTTTACCATGTTGGCCAGCCTGGTCTTGAACTCCTGACCTCAGGTGATCCAGCTGCCTCAGTGCTGGATTACTCCCAAAGTGCTGGGATTACAGGCATGAGCCATCTTGCGCAGCTGGGCCTGAGGATTTCTGGGAGTCTCTGATATCCTATTCTGGGGGACAGGGGTTTTGAGGCCAAAACTCTTTTTATAATAATACAAAAATGTTATTTGCCTGTTTTGCTCTTATTCTCTCACGAGTCCACAGTGGCATTTCTCAGAGTGGAGTTTCCATGACATATGCTGTCACAGCAGAATGAACGCAGAAGCAGACATGAGCACCTGCCTGTCCTCTGTTAAACCAGACATTAAAGCGATCTGCAAGTATGTCAAACAATGCCACTCTTCTCACAAAACACTTCTGAAACCTTTTTCATAAAAATGCTATTTCTATTGACATACTTTTTATTATTATTCAAAATAAATTAATTAAATATTTTTAAATTTTCTCTTTTAATTTCTATTATGGTAGTTACCAATAGATACAACCCCTATAAAGGAAAGCTCTCTGGGAGTCCTCAATAAACTCTAGGAGTGTAAAGACGAAATGCTGAGAATTGCTACCTTCAGAACAAACTTTCTTACAAGTTTCCTCCTTTGGGTTGTAACATAATTCTGTTCAAACATGCTTTAAGGTGTAGGCTGATTTTTTGTTTTAGGGAACTTCTTTTGCCTTGCTGTGTATATTTCATGAGTTTACCCCCCCTTGTTTTTTTAAGTAGGGAAAGTGCCTCTCAGTCAATTTTTTTTTCTCGGTTCATTGCAGCCTCTGCTTCTTGGGTTCAAGTGATTCTTCTGCCTCAGCCTCTAGAGTAGCTGGGATTATAGGTGCTTGTGCCACCATGTCCGGTTAATTTCTTTTTGTTTTTTTGAGATGGAGTCTTATTCTGTCACCCAGGCTGGAGTGCAGTGGCGTGATCTCGGCTGACTGCAACCTCCAACTCCCAGGTTCAAACAATTCTCTTGTCTCGGGCTCCCAAGTAGCTGGGATTCAGGTGTGCACCACCATGCACAGCTAATTTTTGTATTTTTAGTAGAGATGGGCTTTCACCATGTTGGCCAGGCTGGTCTCAAACTCCCAATCTCAGGTGATCTGCCGCCTTGGCCTTCCAGAGTTCTGGGATTACAGGCATGAACCACCAGGCTCGGCCTCCAATTTCTCTTTTTAACAAATGATGGGCCTCAGGTTCAGGCCTTCAGCAAGCCACAGTATCTCACTAGAATTTAATAAGGCTGTTTTATACAACTAATGGATTCAATATGGGTCCCTTGTATACTGGAGCCAAAAAGGGTTTGGTGCTAATGCAAGATTCTCAAAGTATGGAACCCGAAATCAGCAGCTTCACTTGGGAACTTGCTGAAAATGTAAATTCTCATCTCAGATCCACTGAGTCAGAGACTCTGGACGTGGGGCCCAGTAAGACTCCTCCCCCTCCCAGGTGATTCCGATGTTGTGAAAATTTGAGAGCCCCTCCTCTGCTGCTCTGTTGGTTTCATTGTTCCACCCAACCAATTGGTAACCTCTTTGGCCCAGCAGACCCAACGGCTCCAGGGCCTGTCTCCATCCTCCTACCATGTCCAGCTGCTTGTGTGTGTCCTCCAGCGCCACCTCAGTCGCCTCCTTCAGCTGCTTGCTCACGATCTGGAAGAGGTTCAGCGTGGCCATCTTAATGGTGCCAAGCAGGAGGGTCTTCTTGGCTGCAGTGTTCTGGATGTGCGCCCAGCGAGATTCCTGGGGAGGGGATAGGACGGGGCATGAGCACAGAATGTGTGTGTGTGTGTGTGTGTGTGTGTGTGTGTGTGTGTGTACTCAGGGCTCTCACTCACCCAGTACCCGCCCCGGGCCCCCTCACCCAGATGATGACGTTGCTGCGGGCACGGTCAAAACGCATCTGCAGCCTTGCCAGCTCATTGTTTTGCTGCAGGATTTCATCATCCTTCTCTTCCATGTAGTGTGCCAGCCGGGCTTTGGCGTGCTCAATCTTCTCCTGCCCCTCCTGCGCAGACTGCATGAGGTCATGGTGCATGCTCACCAGTGTCTTGTAGCGCGCGATCACCTCATGGATCTCCTCGAACTGCGGACAGGGGCTCAGGACAATGCACAGCCAGTCCCAGGGGCCTGATGGAGCCACCCAGTCCTACCAAACCCCAGCCTGGAGGCCTGGACATCTGGACATCTGGGGAGACAGGCCCTTGGCCAGTGGAATGGCCGGAGGCTGTGAGGAACATTGGGGTTCCCGCTGCCTGCCTCTCCTGGGTTTGTATCGGCCATGGTCCATTTGATAGGCTGGGGGGATGTACAATTGGGCCAGGGATTTCTGATCTTAACTGCATGTTAGAATCACCTGCAGGGGCTTTAAAAAGGATACCTGCCAGTCTCCACCCCCAGAGATTCAGATGAATAAACAAGTCTTCTGTGGTCTCTGACACCTGAATTTTGCAAAAGATCCCCAGGTGGTTCCAGGCACAGCCAGGGTTGATAGTTGCTGGTGGAGGGCATTTTGATATGTCTCCCAAGGCAAGAATTTCCTATTCAACAAGGTTGTACCAAGAACCACTTATAAGTCAGGAGCAATGCGAAATGCCAGGGAAATAGCAGGAGATAGGAAAACCAGACTCTGATTTTAGGAAGATTATATCCCGAGGGGTGGCATGGAGGGAGGACAGACAGACAAGTAAACAGTTACAACAGCAAGATAAGCCCTATCTTTGACTGGGGGACAGGGCTGGACAGGAATCTGGGTGAGCCTTCCAGTTGGTGACCTCTGGTATTTGTTCATTTGCTGAGGGAGAAGCGGGGGCTGGAGAGGGTGCTGGTGGGGCAGGTGGCCTGCCAGATTCAGCTCACCTCCTCCGGCATGGTCCAGAACCACACCACTCTGGCCCTAATCCTCAGGTCCTGCTCAGTGGAAGAGAAGCCCTGAAACCAACCCTGTTTAGAAGGCAGAGCATGAGCACCAGTTCGGTGATGCCAAGTTGCCTTCCTAGGGGCTTATCAAAGCATGCCTTTCGGCCACCCAGGGGAAACTTCCTGAGCACCTTCTCCATCTCATGACATCGCCAGTGACAGGTGGGTGTCCTGGGAACTGCCCTGCTGGCCTTTCCCCAAATATGCCTCTTTGGGGAAGGGCCACCCAACTCAGCACTGGAGGGGGTAGAAATAGCCCAAAAAGGTTTATTGGGAGAAAGGGTAGCTGAAATGAGACGGGAGGAATGAATAGATGACAGCCAGCAAAATGAGTGTGGGGAGGTGAGGCAGTACTACAGGTGGAGGAGGCAGCCTGGGTAAAGATAAACAGAATAGGGGGTGGTATGTTCAGGATGTTCAAGGTAGCCTGAGTTCAAGATGGGGAGGAAGAGATTGACAAGAAGAAAGAAGGAAGAAAGAGGGAAGGAAGAAGAAGGAGAAGAAAAAAAAGAGAAGGCAAGAAAGAAAGGAGGAAAAAGAAAGAAAAAAGAAGGAAGAAAGAAAGAGAAAGCAAGCAAGCAAGAGTTCAGTAAACCTTGGGAAGGAGTGTGGACTTTATCCATTGAAGGATTTTAAGAAGCAGAGGGCTGAGCGTGGTGGCTCCCACCTGTAATACCAGCACTTTGGGAGGCTGAGGCAGGTGAATCACGAGGTCAGGAGTTCAAGACCAGCCTGGCCAAGATGGTAAAACCCTGTCTCTATCAAAAATACAAAAATTATCCAGGCATGGTGGTGGGCACCTGTATCCCAGCTACTCGGGAGGCTGAGGCAGAGAATTGCTTGAACCCAGGAGGTGGAGGTTGCAGTGAGCAGAGATTGTGCCACTGCACTCTAGCCTGGGTGACAGAGTGAGACTCCATCTCAAAAAAGAAAAAGCAGAGAGACAGTTCACATCTACATTTCTGAAAGTTCATCTGGCACACAGTGCAACAGCGTACCACAGTTCAAATAAACGGACTACATCCGAGCTACTAGGAACACACCTCTAAAACTTAATGCTGATGCCAAAATGATTCAGGTGTCAAATGGAAGAGCCTCCAGTGCCCAAAGATGAGATGATTTGAACATTAGTAAGAATAAGTGCAAAGGTTTAAAACATACCAAATATGTTAAAAACCTATAAGTTCACAAGGATACTAGAAGCATTACAGGTGGGTGCAATTCATTATTCTGAAAACTGTAAATAAAGCATTTAACAGACTTTCTCTGTAAGACCCACACAATCATCAAATGGGAAGGTTCTCTCTTATGAAGTCCTTTTCTTTAATGGTAGTGTTCTAGCAAATAAACGAAGAAGGGCTGCTAGTGAGTATCTTCCCCCCACCATTGAGGAAACCAATATTCCGACTTCTATCACTAAAGATTAATTTTACCTGTTTTTAAACACGAGTGGAATCATGCGATATAACCGCTTTTGTGTTGTGCTTAAGAAGCATACCAACTAAGGGCAGTGTGAGGACCTTAGTGGACCACGATTGGAACAAACCAACTGTACAAAAAGCATCTGTGCAATAATTTGTCTTAAAAGATAGGATCTCACTCTTGCCCAGGCTGGAGTACAGCGGTACAAACATGGGTGACTGAAGACCTGACCTCCTGAGCTCAAGCAGTCCTCCTGCCTCAGCCTCCCACGTAGTTGGGACCACATATGGGTGCTACCATGCCTGACTACTTTTTATTTTTAAACTTTTTGTACAGTTGCGGGGAGGGTCTCACTTTTTTGCTCAGGCTGGTCTTGAACTCCTGAGCTCAAGTGATCCTCCCACCTTGGCCTCCCAAAGCACTGGGATTACAGGCATGAGCCACCATGCTTGCCCCATTTTGTGCAATAAATGATACTGATATTTTATGTTAAGGAATTACTATCAGTTTTATAGTAGGTGTGACAATGGTGTTATAGTTATTTTACAAAGAACTCTCATCTCTTAGAGATACATACTGCAGAGAGACATATATGGTTGAAAACATACCATTTGCTTCAAAATGGCGGAGGTGGGATAGTATGGGGGATGTGACTATGAATTGATAATTACTGGAATCAAATAATGAGCAGCAGGTGTTCTATACACTGTTGTATTTACTTCTGTTTATGCTTAAAAATTTCATAAAAAGTTACAAAACGTTCAATGTTATAAAATAATAAAAACAAGCATGATATGAGAATTTTTAAAAGCAGGATACTCGGCGTCTGAGGAGAGGTGAAAAAGCATGAGATTTGGAAGGACACAGGATTTCATTTATTGGATTTCAATTGTCAGTAGTGTTTAAGACAGCAGAACTGGGGGCAGATGGGGAAAGATGAAGATTTAGCAAAGCTATGTGATGAGTACTTGGTTGCTGTTATGTGTGTCTCTATACTTTCCAGTATGCTTAGAGTATTTTGAACAAAATAAACAAAGAAGAAAAGAAAGAAAGAGCGGAGTGGGAGGAATGTAAAACAGGCTGGCCAGGAATGACGCCGAGTGGAACTCCAGATGAGGTACCACTGGTGGCCTGGATGGGGAAGGGGCCGGGACTGGATTCCAGAAATACTTCTAAGGCAGAACAGACCAGATCTGCTGATTGATAGCTGTGGCACTGAGCAAGAGGGAGGAGCCAAGGAGGCCCAGGTTCTGGTGGAGCTGTGGGTGGGTGGTCCTGCCATTCGCCAGCACAGGACAAACCAGCAGCAGGGCTGGCCTGGGGGTGGCAGGAAGCAGATGAGACAAGTGTGCACGGGGAAGAGTTAGATATGGGGGTCTTAAGCTTAGAAGCGAGACACAGGCCAATGTCCTCAATCCTAAGATACATATTTTAGCAACTCTGAACTCAAGACACACCTTACAATATTTTGTTTTGTTTTGAGATGGAGTTTCTCTCGTCCCCCAGGCTGGAGTGCAACGGCATGACCTTGGCTCACTGCAACCTCTGCCTCCCGGGTTCAAGAAATTCTCCTGCCTCAGCCTCCTGAGTAGCTGGGATTGCAGGCACCTGCCACTACGCCAGGCTAATTTTTGTATTTTTAGTAGAGATGGGGTTTTGCCATGTTGCCCAGGCTGGTATTGAACTCCTGACGTCATGTGATCCACCCACCTTGGCGTCCTAAAGTGCTGGGATTACAGGTGTGAGCCACTGCACACCTGGCCACATCTTGCAATTTATCGGCTGTTTTAATACGGTAGTCCCTCCTTACTTCCTGCCCGCTTCCCCAGAAACTCTAACCATGAAATGAACCACTGACCTTATAGTACGTAGCAGCTTTGAGTGGAGGAAATAACGCAGATGTGGGACTCATGCATGAGTAAACTAGGTGAGTGGTTTGATATGGGAATTGTGGGAAATTTAAACAGCTGGGCATTCTGTCGCCCCTCCTCTACCAGGACATAGATCCACGTGCCTGGAGGGGGTGCCTCTATCTGCCCCGGTGGGGGGCTCTTCTGGCTGTTGGTCACATGGGGGAGGAGATAGTGTGACATGGGTGGCATCCATGGAAGGCCCTAGGTATTGATCAGGGAGAAAAGTAGAGGATCTGGGACAGAGCACCTGGACTCACCACATAAGAAGGACCTGGGAAGAGGCCCTTCTCCGCCCCAGCCAGGAGCCTGAGAAGAAGGGCCACAGAGTTCAGGGCAGTGGGGGTGGTTTCTGGTTTCTGGGAGGGGCATCAGCAGTATTACACTGCAAGAGCCATGCTGGAACTGAGAAGTTCTCTGGGCTTGGGCCACAGGGATGGCAGGAAGAGCCCTGGTCAATTACACTGTGGGGCCCACGGAGAAGTGGCTAAAAGCAAATGAGCTGTGAGACTGATAAGCTGTGAGACTCTTGGCAAGTGACTTAACCTCTCAGAGCCTCCATTTTCTTCTCTGTAAAAGGATGATCAGCTTGGGTTCCCCTTGGGGCTGACCAGAGAACTGAATGAAGTTACCCATGTGAAGCACCAACTCCCAGGACATCTGAAACACCCCAGTTTGTATGGTGTTTCAATACCAGGAGGCTGGGTGTTTTTCCAGGTCCTCTCCTTTCCCCTTCCCAATTTACTCTCCAGTAAACAGAAGACACAGGGATAGAGAGAGGCCACCTGCTCACACACACACACGCACACACACACACACACACACACACCCCTTTAGACAGACACAGCCAAGGATACACATGTAGACATAAACATGCAACTCATGCAAGACATATACACAGTTGTGACTCAAGACATACCACTAGGCCCCACCCCTTGGGAAACTCATCCAGCCTCACTTGAGGCTTCTTTTAGCTGCCCCTGACTGCCCCCCAAGGACTGGTTGCATCTCCTCAGAGTAGGGTGCCCATCCCTGCAGAGTCCCTGGGGCTCAGAAGGTCCACAGTCTGAAGCCAACTGAGCCTGAGCTCCACCCCATGGCCCCAAGCCCCAGGAAACAGGAGGTGGGGCTGAGGCAGCTGCCAGGGCCAGCCGCTGCCGGGCTCCTGGGACTCACCTCAGAGTTCTCCACCACTTTCTCTAGGTACTTGTTGAAGATGGAGTAGTCCTGCAGCTTGGCGCTCAGACGCTGGTGCTCCAGCCGCAGCGCCACCATCTCCTGCTTGCCCCTGGTCAGCTCCCGCAAGTGCCGACACTTGAGTTCTCGCTCCTTGTTGACTTTCTTCATGGCTCGGATCCGTTTCTGGTCGTTCTCCTGGGGCCGGGGGAAGCAGCACTGGTCAGGAAGCCTCGCCCGGTCCTCCCGGGGCCCAGGCCATCCTGGGGCTGGTGGTGCCCTCAGACCCCTCCATCTGCTCAAACCATCCTGGGAACAGGCAGACTGCTGGGCCACCCATGAGGCAGAAGCGGGGTGAAGGAAAAGGCTCTTAGGGGTATTTGAAGCTGCTTGAGGAGATTTCTGTGGACTGAGGTGGGGCTCAGGGGGCTGTGAGGACAGAGGTTTCATCCAAGGTCAAGAGGTGGCCCTGGGGGCGGGGGGAGGGCAAACAGGAAATGGTTCTTTCCTGTGGGACTTGGGCTCTGGACTTCAGAGTGTGGACTAGGGGAGACCTGCATTGCATCGGGCTCAGAGTCTGGAGAGAACTCAACCCCTTGATAAGATTGAGAAAGTCCCGAAGTGGTAGCAGGAAGCCTTCTCACAAAGCTTCTGTTGTTTCTGTTCTTCCCGGTGGCCATTTTCCGTGGAGCAGAAGAACCACTCCTGGATCAGAGCTGGGAGGTGCAAATTTTCTCCCGATTCGGTGCGCAGTGCCTCCATTTTCCCAGCTGTGGAGAAGGGAGGCAGGAGCCCCTCTCCCTTTCACAAGCTGGGGCAACAGGGCTGGAGTTACAGGAAGATGAGCTAGGAGATGCACCTGGTGCCTTAGGGCCTGGTGGTAAGGCCACTGGGAGAGCATGCGCCTAGGAGCTCAGACTTGCATCCCACTTAGGGAGGAGATGGTACAGGCAGTTCGATGTGAGAAGACAGAAGGATCAGCTACTGCAATCGATCCAATCCTGCCTATTCTTTCTGCCAAGCCCTCCCCTAAGATTAGGGACAAGCCCACCCCTCGCCCTGTGTGACTCCTGTCTCCCATCAGGGGCTCCTGTGATATCACATGGATGGACTTATGGAATGTGGCACTTGGAGGCCACTGAGGAAGGTGCACGGAGGATCTGTGTGCTGCCCTGTAAGCCCAGGAGAGGACTGAGGGGGTCTAAACCAGTGGCTTTCAAATCCACCTGCTCATCAGAACTGCCTATAGAGCTTTTTAAAAAATATAGAGGTGTGGTGGCTCTGCCTGTAATCCCAGATTTTGGGAGGCCGAGGCAGGTGGATCTAGAGGTGAAGAAATGGAGACTGTCCTGGCCAACATGGTGAAACCCCGTCTCCACCAAAAAAACACAAAAATTAGCCAGGTGTGGTGGCACTCGCCTGTAGTCCCTGTGACTCGGGAGGCTGAGGCAGGAGAATGGCTTGGACCTGGGAGGCAGAGGTTGCAGTGAGCTGAGATCATGCCACTGTACTCCAGTCTGGGTGACAGAGCAAGACTGTCTCCAAAAATAAAAAATAAAATATGAATGAATGAATGAATGTATACAGAAGGCTGGGCCCAACCTCAGATCTGCAGAAAGCAACAAGCAAAGCCCCTGGGGTGTACATTTGTAGCAAACTCTTCAGGAACTGAAGCTGCTGACCCTTTGAGTGCCATTTGGAGAATGGCTCACACCCAAATCTCCTCCTGCCCCAACTACTCCATACGTGCTTCTCTGGCTGCTAAGAAGAACTGGACCTCTGGAGAATGTGCCCAGTCCATTGACTTTCTGTCCCACGTGGCTTAGGCAGAGAGGAGGAAGGAATATGCTTAAGAGCGGGGCTCCTTTGTAGCAGACAGCAATCATTACCAGCTCCCAGAGCTGGACCAGGCCCTTCAGGGCTGCGTAAGTGCTAACTGGAGTGGGTCTGGATAAATCTGGATTTTCAGACAATTACATTGCTCCACTAAGGAGTGAAGTGAGAGGGGCATCTTGAAATGAACTCTGGTGCCTGGTCCTTCAACTATTCCCTGCCCGGACCTTCAGTGCAAGGACAAGGATGGAGGGGTGGGGTAGATGGAGGGACTAAAACTCTCTCATTCATCACTGTATTCCCCAAGTGCTGAGTCCTGACTGTACCACATCCATCCATCCATCCATCCATCCATCCATCCATCCATCCATGCAGTCATTTACTGGATAAACTGTATGTCCTATGTACTGGAAAGGAAATAGGAAACAGCCATCTAGAGGGGACAGAGACTGATAGGTAAACGGGAAATCACAACCAGAGACAGGTGGGGGACATAAAGGATGCCCAGGGAAGTGCCAGGCAGTATTGGAACACTAAGGATGCTTTTAACTCAGGGCGAGGAGTCAGCAGAAGCAAGGAGGAGGAGCAACAGTTTACCCGACTGCTGAGTGTGGATCCCCCCACCCACTGTGGCCACCAACACCCCTTCAAACCTGGATGAACTGCTCAAACTTCTGGATGTGAGCCTTCAGCTGGGCTTCCTTAATGCCCAGTTCCTCCCAGCGCAGGTTCAGGCTTTCCATTCTGAGCTGAAACATCTTTGGGGTGGGGGTGTGGGAGCAGAAGGGTCAGGAGAGCCCCTGACATGGGTACCGAGGAAGACCCCAGCATCCCCTGCCCCAGAGGCTCCATCCTCAAGCCCAGGAGGGTCCAGAGGAGCCTTCCACTTTCTACCCCATACCTGGCTCAGAGCAGAGGATCCCTGGACACTAGTACCCCCAAGACCCAGATCCTTTCTGTTCTCCTTGAAGAGACTAGACTGCCATAGAGGACTCCTGGCTCTAGCCACCTTGCCCACACAATGGAGAGCTGTCCACGGGATCTCCCAGAGCCCCAGCCCACCCACTCCTTCCCTGTACCTCTGCCCTCCATCCCCGAGTCCCCACCTTCTTCTTCTGCACCAAAGCATGATGAATGATCTTCATCTCCTTTTTCTTCTCCAGTAGCTGGATGGATGGTGACTCCAACTCTCCCTGAACATTGGGGAACTTCCTGTCCAAGATGTGAATGCAACAGGGCTGTGTGTTCTGAGGTGGATTAGTCTGGGGCTGGGAGTAACCGGTGGAAACAGGTACCTATGGGGAAGGAGGGGGCCTCTCTCCCTTTCTGAGGGAAAGGGATGTTGTGTTGAAAATTATAAAGAGCCACGCGGGAATGAGATGGAGGAGAGTGACCGGGTAGGGACCAGGTGATGGGGTGGACTGGTGCCAAGGTAATTTGGGGCACTGGGTTACAGAAGAGGAGGGGACAGACAGGTTGGAAGCTGAGACATGGGGTGGGTGTGGGTGGTCCCAGGCACAGAGGGTCCAGGCCTCGGACACTCACTGCAGCATCTGCAGCAGCCGCCCCCCATACTTCAGCCGGAAGTACTCGGCCAGGTCTTCCTCTTCCATGATGCCCAGACTCATGGTGGCAGTGACCTCCCAGCCCAGGCAGCTGACTCTTCACAGTGAAATGGTGGGTAGCAGAGCCGCAGGTGGCTCAAGGGTGGTGGTTGCCCTCTTGTTTCTCCCTTCGGCCTTCAGGGTCCCACTGATGACGGTGTTTGAGACTGCAGAAGGTGGCTGGAGACAGGATGGGCGGCTCAGGACGATGTGCTGGGGCGGTGAGGGGAGATGCGGTTACCCAGCAACAGGTTGCGTGGTTGCGTGGCCCACACGTGGAGCTCAGGCGCTGCCCTCTGCCCCCTGCTCCCATTGGTCCTCCCCTTGCTGGGGTCGTGCCCTCTGCGCCTGCTCTTTGCCCTGAGGAACTCTGGGAAGGCGTCAGGCCTGGTTAGATGCTGGTTGCGACGGAGCCCAGGGCCAGGAGGCAGCTTCGGGTGAGTGTGGCTGAAAAGGGGCATCTGGTGGAGGAGGGGCCTTGTGTGGGCGCCCTTCTCCCGGGGCCTCTCTGGGGTTCAGGAGTGGGTGAGGGTGAGGGAGGGGCCGGGCTTTGGCTGGAGAAGAGGAGAGAGTGAAAGGAGGCGCTTAGCGGTGGCAGGGGTGTTGTCGTGCGGAGGCCCCAGGTTAGAAACCACGCCACGCGGGGGATATGCGCCAGGTTTTTATTGTGTGTTTGTTTTGTTGCTTGTTTGCGCCGCCCTCTCCGCTCCTCTCTGTCTGGGACGGGGAGCGGGGTGGGGTGTGGTGGGCTGTGGTGGGTTGAGGTGGGCTAGGGGGCTCAGGCCGGGGCGTGACACGAGAGCCTCAAGCCTGCCCCGCCGCATTGCCGGTCATCTGGCGCCCCCTGCTGGTCGGCCGCCGCGCCCTCCTTCCGAGCCCGGGAGGAAGAGGAGACTTGTTGCGGGTGGCGCTGCCCACCCCAGCCCTGCTCCCTTCCCACGCTCCGCCGGAGCCTCCCCTCTAGAGCGGGACATCACACACACCTGTCGCTTCCAGCCAGCCCAGTGGGCTCAACATAGAAAGCAGGACATCCTCCACCCCACGCAGTACACACCTACGCCTAAACAAGAGGTGGTTCTTTACCGGAGCCCGGTAGGAAAAGGCCCAGCGGGGCGACGGTAAGACCGCCTAGAACCATTCTAAGCTCCTCGGAAGGGCATGTTTCACTGTTTATCCAGAGGCTGGCACAGTCAATCTGGGGTTCCCCTCCCTTTCTCTGAGGTTGTAGCTCAGTCTCGGGGCTGTGTAATGCCAGCCCTTGGCGGAGGAAGCCATCTGTTTCTGAAATCACCCGTTCTCCCTGAGACATCTTCTTGATTGTCCGTGAAATCAGGTGGTCCAGGGCCAGGTTGGTCCATAGTGGTAGCTGCTAAGACATCCTCTGCTCCGGCCCAAGTATCTCCTCCTATCTGGAAGCTCTTTCTGCTGCTTGGTTTGGTGCCTGTCATGGGAGTTTTCATGATCTTGATCCTCACACACCACCATCCCTCTCTGCGCTCCTAGAGCCTTATTCACTATCATCAGAATAGCACAGGAAAGAACTGGCCCCCACGGTTCAATTACTTCTGCCTGGGTCTCTCCCATGACATGAGGAAATTCTGGAAGATTCCATTCAAGTTGAGATTAGAATGTGGACACAGACAAACCATATCCAACCCTAATCTCCAATGTAATGGTACTTGGATACAGAGCCTTTGGGAGGTAATTAGCTCCTAAGAATGGTGCCTTCATGATGCGTGTAGTGCCCTAATAAGAAAAGAGAGAGCTTGCTTTCTCTCCCTTCGCTGTCTGCAGTGTGAGGGAACAATGGGAAGATAGCCTTCTGCAAACCAGCAAGCAGACCCTCAGCAGACACTGCCTCTCCTGGCACCTTGATGTTGGACTTCCCAGCCTCCAGAACTGTGAGAGAGAAATGTTGAAGTTTTCCAGTCTATGAGAATTTGTGAGAGCAGCCCAAACTGACTAAGACACTCACCAACATGGTATATTACCAGTCTCTTAAACTTTGCCAGTCTGATAGGTGAAGTGACTTGTGTATAGAGCCATTTCTTCTTCTGTGTGTCTCCTATTCCTGTTTCATGCCCATTTAAAAAATCAAGTTGCTTTATAGTTTTACTGATCTACAGAAGGTCTTTATGTCCTCTGGAAAGTAATCCTGCATTTTTGATGCTCACTTTTCATCCTGTTCCTTTTGAGTGGGCTGGTTGGACCCTCACTGAATGCAGCCAGGGACAGGAAGGCAACTAAGGCAGCAATCCACAGCAGGCGGACCAAGAGCCAGTCACCCAGGCTGATTCACCAAGTCGGCAGAAGAATTAGCTTTCCCTTATTCTAGGCTTGGGATTCTCTACAAGCAGAAATGGCACTAAACGGGAGGTGGGACAATATTTGGTCTGCTACCCTGTGACTACATCATTGGGAGGTAGATACAACAGACCTGCAGTTCCCAAGAATGTTTTTGTTTGGTTTTTCGAGACAGGGTCTGTCTCTGTTGCCCAGGGTAGAGTGCAGTGGTATGATCATGACTTACGGAGCCTTGACCTCCCAGGCCCAAGCAATCCTCCCTCAGCCTCCCAAAGTGCTGAGATCACATGTGTGAGCCACTCTGTGCCTGGCCATCCCAAGAATGTTTTGAGAGCTCAGGCTCAGTGCAGACTCTTGTTAACAGCCTAAGTTCATCCCATTGTAAGTTCACTCTTGGGCATTGCACAAACGCTTCTCAAATTCCTCCCAAATCTTACTCGCCTTATTTGCATGTGGTTTATGGTATTGGTGACACGAGGAAGGGTTCTAGAATGGAGGCAACCTGTAGCAATAGCTTCACGGTTCCATTTGCTGGAATAGTAATTGCATTCTAGGCTCAGTCATGCTTGTGTTTAAAAATAAGATGTTAGTCTTATGTGTCTGTCAAGCATCTCCTCAGAGTTCATTGACTTCAGTCATTTGATTTCTACTAACGAAACCCAAGATACTTCCTTCCTCTCATAAATTGTTTTACTCTATCGGCCAGACGCAGCAGCTCACACCTGTAATTCTAGCACTTTGGGAGGCCAAGGGGGACGGATCATCTGAGGTTAGGAGTTGGAGACCAGCCTGGCCAACAAGGTGAAATGGTGCCTCTTTTCAAAATAGTGAAATTAGCTGGGTGTGGTGGCAGGTGCCTGTAATCCCAGCTTCTCAGGAGGCCGAGGCAAGAGTATTGATTGAACCTGGGAGGTGGATGTTTCTGAGCCAACATTGAATTACTGCATTCCAGCCTAGACAATGGAGCAAGACCCCATCTCAAAAAAAAAAAAAAAAAAAAAAAGGAAAAATGACTCAGCATTATTTTCCAGAGTTAATAAATTTGTTCAGATAACTAAAACCTCATTAAACAAAAATGTTATTGAACAACAAATAAGAAATCCAGACCAGTCTCATCGTAGTCATTGTGAAGGTGAGAAAACTTCATCTATATTGCATTTTCCCAGGCATTGCACTGCACTGTCCTCTTTAAAACACACGGCTCCCGTCCCCCTTTCAAACACATGTCCTCTTTAAAGTAACATACAAACCTTTCAATACAAGGTAAAAAATGCATAGGAATTCTCACAATTCAATGACAAACACTAAACATCAAATAAAAATGTATTTTTATAAGAATTTAGGGTAAATGCCGCCTAGCTAAAAATGTAATAGATATATTATGTAACTATACTAAGTAAACACAGTGCTTCAGCAGCACATATAATAGTAGATAAAAAGATTTAAAAATAAAACATTTAGGATAAAATAATCTCTTGAAAATGAAAACAGAATTCTGTTTATGTGTATATGAAAGGCATAACAGCATTACACAACTTCATAACAGCAGTGTCTTTTCCAAAACACTTGTATCTCTAAACTAGTTAAATACATGTAGTAATAATTCTACACCAATAATTTTCAAAATAATCACATAAACTGTGAAGTGTATATTGGACATGTTTGTATATACGTAAGACATACTAAAAATCACAACTAAATTCTTACAGTTCAGTAACAAACACTAAACAGAAAATAAGAATGTCTGTCTAAAAGGATGTAGAAGAACTCCCACCTAGCTATAAATAAATGGATGAGTTAGGTCAGTACCATAGATAACAAGAGTGCTCGCTTTGCGAGCACATATGATAATAGATAAAATGATGGAAAGATAAAAGATTTAGGATCAAAATAATTTTTTCTCAAAAATGAAAACTGAATTATATTTATGTGTATATAACAACTGTAACAACCATCACAAAACTATAGGAACAGCATGCTTTCAATACTACAAAATTCAAAACTATACTAAATAAATGTAATTCTATGGCCAACATAGTCAAAATAAACCAATAAAATGTATAATATATATTAAAATATCTCTTTAAAATTTCAAATGATTTAAAATAAACATAGTTGTAATTCTATGGCCAACATTTGGAAAATAAACCAATAAAATGTGCAGTATATATTAAACTATCTCTTAAAATCCTATGGCAGTAATTTCATATTTTACAGAGAATTCTGTGAGAATCTGAGCACCTGCGTTGTGCCTTCCAATGCTCCTGGAATGTGGCAGCCAAGTCCATAGGAAACGGGCCCTCCAGCTTCCAGCCCAGGGGAGGTTGGGATTCAGCAATGAGAAATGGGAGGTGGTGCCGCAGGAAGGGGTGGAACCAGAAACACCCCTGGTTTCTCATGTTCCTCCACTGACTCCAGGAACTACCCCTGGCTCCAGGGAGGAAAACCTGGTCACTCGGTTCTGCTCCTTCTAGAAGAGTCCAGGTTCTTTTAGATTATCAGCACAGGAAACTCTTCTCTTCCTTCCTGGTGTCTTTGGTGTTGCTGGTGTCGGATAAACTTCCTGCTGAAAATGCCCATCTCCCCTGGGCCCAGTGGTCTGGAAGTGAGAGAGAGGATGTCACATTTGAAGGAGGCAGATCTCTAGACTGGAAGGTTATTTGCATCCCATGTCAGTCCTAAGTAGAGTTCAGCGCAATGTATAAATGCTATTTTATTTCTGACCCTTCATTTTAAACCCTGACTCTGAACCATCAGTTTTGATTCTGATAGTCACACTTTGGTGACCTTGACTCAAAAAAATCACTGAATACGCCCAGAGTTACCCCCAGTGATCTGCTCCATAGCAAGGACTTCAAGGGAGTGAGCCCAGGGAGTAGAGCACCCTGGGAGAACATGGCTTTGGACTTCATCACACTTGGGGCCTTCCATGTTGTTAAGATCTAAACTTGGAACCATGCTACACCCATGTCTAACATGATAACATCATGAACCACCAGACTGGATTCCTAACCCTGAATCTTAATCTCTCCTGTTGAAGTCTAATGCTTAGTCCTAAATGCGGTTAGCTGCACAAGATGTAAACCAAATCTTCAGGGAATCCTTTTCCCAAATCCGTAACTCAAGTGTGTCCATCCTAAGGAACCTTCCTAAACCTACGTAGTATCCTCATTTTTGAGACCGAGTGTCACTCTGTGGCCCTGGCTGGAGTGCAGTGGCAGAATCACAGCTCACTGCAGCCCCGACCTCCCGGGCTCTGCTGTTCCCTCCACCTCAGCCTCCTGAGTGATGGGGACTAGAGGTGCCCTCCACGACGCCCAGCTAATTTTTGTATGTTTTGTAGAGATGGGGTCTCGCCATGTTGACCAAGTTTGAAGCTGGATCAAGCAATTGGGATCCTTGGATTTTCTTTAGCTTTTACTCTGGAGGATTCAGACATACCTTCTCTCAGGCTGATGACCTCAGGCCTCCATGTACCCGGAGCTCTAGGAAATGAGGGTGCGATCTCGGGCCCAAACCCAGTGCTCTGGGTCATAAGCCTGGATCTGGAAAAACACATACCACTTGAGAAGCCTGGGACTCCGCAGGAAGACCCCACCCTGCCCTCCTCCAGCCTCTGATCCAGCCCATCTCTCCTCACCCCCACCTCCTTATGGCCCCACCTATCTCCTCCATCTCCTCTGGGGAAACCCACGTCCTCCAGAGCATGGAACAGAGGAACTGGTATCGAAGCTTATGGAACAAGGGTCTCTGAGAGAGTGGTCCTTCCTGTAGAGGAAGGAAAAAATGTCTTGTTTGGGGGCCTGGTTGTTCTCCTCCATGTCACTGGCCAGGTAGCTGGGGAGAGAAATCGGGTTGCTGCTCAGGGCCACCCCCAGGAGGGAGCCCCGCCTGAAGTCAGCTTCCTAGAGAGGAAGGCAGGGGACTGTCCTCAGCTCAGCAACCACACCTGCTCTGCCTTCCTCAGCAGGCCTCGCTGGACAGAGACCTGCTGAAGGGTGCCTCTCACACCTTCAGGAAGGAGACACTCCAAGTGGTGGCTGGGATTGGTGGTTCTAGCCTGGAATCCCAGCAATTTGGGAGTCCAGACAGGAGGATCAGTGGAGGCCAGGAGTTAGAGACCAGTCTGGGTAATATAGCAAGACCCCCTCTTAATTTAAAACCAACCCAAGTCTTACCCTAAGCATGTGTCCTGTCATTGTTACACAAGACAGGTGACACCACCTCATCCTATTCCCCACCCCTGTTCCTCCCCACACCCCCTTTCTTGTTATGTTTGCATATACCTGTCTCCCCCTCCATCCTAAGGGCCCCAAGGATGGGAAGTGACTGGTTTGTTTCTGTTAATCATCTCTCCCCTACCAAATGCACAATATAGGGCTTTGTTTGTCTTGCTGCATTAATTCAACAAGCATTGCTGTGACCTCTCTCTTCCCATCCTCCATATCCCCTGGCACATAAGATATACATTACATTGTTTTGTGGAATACATGAATAGATGAATGAATGAAGGAGAGAAGGAGAGGTTTATCTTATACCTAAATGCTATATGAATTATTACATAGAGTCAATATAACATGAAGACTTGGAAAATGAAAAGAGTTGTGTTGAGTGTTTTAGGAATACTTTGATATTTTGGCTGATTGGGAGGCTCATATGTATGTAATACCAGCACATTGAGAGGCTGAGGTCCCCAAGTTCTGAGAGGATAGGGGTCATGTGTTTCACTACTGTGATCTGGGGCTTGCATCCTAAAGGACCCTGAACAGAGGTAGTGGCCACTCATTCACTATGCAAGAAGCCTGCAGAGCCCTAAGGAAGATGCTGACAGATTATAAAAAGAGCACAAATAGCTGGGAGTGGTGGCTCATGCCTTGAGTCCCAGCTATTGAAGAAGCTGAGTTGGGAGGATTGCTTGAGCCCAGGAGGTTGAGGGTGCAATGAGCTATGAGTGCACCACTGCGCTCCAACCTGGGCAACAGATCAAGATCCTGTCTCCAAAAAAAAAAAATCAGAACTTGGGCATCTAATACAATGGGAGCAGTAGGTGGGAGATGGTAGAGGGAGAGAGGAGATGATGAGTTTACAAGCTGCACCCTCCCCCAGGCCGTGTGTTAGAGCAGGAACACAGTGGAGTGGAGAACAACCTTACCTTGTCGGAAACCCTCAGATCTTTGTCCCAGGCCAGGAATTTTCGAATGACAGGATCCTCTGTGAAAAGAGAGCTTGTGTTAGGGTGAGAAGCTGAACAGTTGTCCTGGGAGCCACAGAGGAGAACTGTGCCTCCCTTGGGGAAGTCTCAAAATTGTGGCCAAGCGTTAGGTGGATGGGAGAGGAGAGAAGGACTCTCACTGGGCAAGGAGGGAGGCTGCTGCTCTGAGACTCCCCTGAGGAAAGGCTAAAGGAGGCCCTGGGTGTCAGAATCTATAGGATGAGGAGCTGTGATAAGCCATGATGTCCTCCCATGAGACACAAAGGGACCACTGCAGAAGTGATCATGGAATTCCCATCTTTGCTTCGGGAGACAGTCACAGCAGGCTGTGCCCATGGCCTTGTCATCCCCTTCTATGGATGGACACACTTAGGTTTAGAAAGTCAGCACGAGACCTAGAGTTTCAGAGGGTACAGCTAAAACCAAGCTGGTTTTCTTTCATTTTGTTAAAAAAATTTTTTGTGATAGGTTCTTTCCCTGTCAACCAGGCTGGAGTGCAGTGGTGCAGTCACAGCTCATTGAGCCTTCAAATGACTGAGTTCAAGAGATCCTGCTGCCTTAGCCTCCCTAAGTACTGGGACCTCAGGCATGAGCCACTGCACCTGGCCTGAAACCAAGCTTCCTCATTTCAAGTGCAGTCCTTTTTTAAGACTAGCCTCATCCTCTACCATCTCCTAGGCCTCCTCGTCCCGCATGGAGGGCTCACCCACCAGGAGAACACATTCTTCTTATTGAAAAAGTGTGATTATTGGAAATTTTCCATTTTTTAAAATGAACCCAAATGGAGATGCTCTCAGGGGTGTCCTCCTACCCAGCAGCCTGTTGAAGGCCTGGTGGTGCTCAGGGAGCATGGAGGACACTCGCTTTCTCTTCAGCCTCATCTTGAGTCCATCTTCAGACAAGGTCTCCACCACCCAGATGTCCTTGGGCTCAGGGCTGCGCTCCAAGTTCAGCCCCTCCTCCGTCTCCTCCTTGGATTCGTCTGACCATTCTGATTCGTCTGACAATTCCCTCCTCCTTTTGATGCCAAGGGATTGAGGCCAGGGGCTGGGATCTACCCAGGGGACTGAGGAAGAAACCAGGCCATGGTGTAATGTTTCTGCAAGTGATCACCTGAGACCCCACCCTAAAGCCACATACTACTCTTCTATCCTCCCCTGCCTTACTGTCTCTAGGCTTCTCCAAACCGTGTTTCCACTTTCCCCTTTGCTGATCCCCGTCTGCCTCTCCCCCACCTCCCCATTCTTCCACCTCTCTGTCCTCAAAAGGTTTCCTCATCACAGATAAGAACTTTCAATTGGAGAAGAATGGAAACCTTCACTTGAGCTCTTCCTTCTCCCCTGTCATCTTTTGAGTGCATCTCCTGACCCCCGTCATTGTTCCAGGTTTTCCTTCCATGTGGCCAAGCTGAGCCCCACTCCCTGCACCCTCCTTCCCTGATCCCTGGCTTTCCGAGTCCCTCGTTTCTTTCACACACACCCTACTCAGGTGCTCCTTCCCAATCACTGGGCCTGTCCGTCTTCTGAGTCAATCCTTTCCCATCACTTCTCCCTCCAGTCACCTCACCTGATGGTCCTGGCACTTCCATCCACCACCACCTGGGGGGATGGCACCGTTGTGCTAAGCTGGGGGCTCTGCTCCTCAAACGGGGGGTGCACTTGACCACTGGCCATGATCTCTCCCAAAGACTTTGTTTCTGTCCACACAACCTAGTCTCTGTTCTGTCCAAAGCTGCCTTACCGACCCCATTAGGACCCTGAAGAGTGTGTTTGTCTTCTAGAGGCTCAGGAGAAGTCAAGAGTAAAGAACAGCTTTCAGAAGATGCTATTATCCACCTGAGTTCCCAGGTGCCCAGAGTTCGGTCTGTCCAATCAGGAAGGTTGGAATCTCTGATGTCATTGGCCATTCCAACCTGGCAACCCGTTTGAAGAAAAACACATGTAACTGCCATTCTGATCTCTTCTCTTTGAGATCTGGGGTGAAGGGTATCTCCTGGTAATGCTGCAACCTGAGCATTGTCCAAAAGCATTCTCAGGGTCTCCCCATTCCTCTTTTCCCTGTCTCAGCGGTGGCTGTGTCCTCTCTACTCTCAACTGGAGGGGTGTTGGGCTCTCCCTGCTCTTCCTTCCCATTTCACAGTCCAGCCTGGTAAGAGAGGGTGGAAGGTGGCAAGGATATTTAAGGTAAGCAGAATGATGAGACCTTCCAAGAGTGAGATTATCATGTCCAAGAGATCCTGGGTACTTTGACTTGTTGAATGAAACCGTTACATCAAAGCACTCAGTTTGGCAAAGCTTTTTTGCTGAATGTGTACAGGTATTCACTGTCCTTGTTCCTATACTAGGGGAACACACATCCTTTACTCTGAGGCATCTTTGAGTCCAAGAGACACTTTGAGGACTGAAAATCATAGGAAACTGTCAGTGGGTTCACACATATTTCCAACGGTGTCCACAGTTTTAGTCCATCCATGAATCACCTAAAGCCTGCCCTTCCAGTTCAGGTAAGGACTCTGGTCTATATATCAACAGTTACAATATTATAAATGTCACTTGACCCAGACATTTTCCTACCATTTATATATTCTGTGAATTAAATATCCTTTGTAGTAAAAGACTAAGTAGAAAAATCTCAGCAAGGCCCAGGTGCTCTCGCTTATAATCTCAGCCCTTTGGGAGGCGGAGGCAGGAGCATCACTTGTGGTTAGGAGCTCAAGATTAGTCAGGGCAACATAGCAAGACCTCATCTCTACAAAATATCAACAAAGTAATCAGTAATCATGGCAGACCCCTGAGGTCCCACCTATCTGGGAGTCTGAGGCAGGAGGATCCCTTAAGTCCTGGTGTTTGAGGCTGCAGTGAGCTATGATTGCACCACTGCACACTAGCCTGGATGACAGAGTAAGACACAGTCTCAAAAATATCTTTTTAGTAAAAAATAAAATATAAGAGCTGAATTCCGCCTCAGATACCATCCAAAGAACTCGTGAGTTCTGGCACAGCTTCCTAATTGGTCCTGGTCTCTGAGGAGTCTCTCGCTGATGGGAAAGGCAGAACTGAATGAGGAAGCAGATCCCGTCTCTGTGGAAGTCCAATAGTTAGGAATCTCTCCTCTTGTTGAACTGAGCTGGCATTTGCATTCATGATGATTTCAACCATCAGAGCTGGTTGGATCCTTCTGTAACAAAATAGAAAACACTTTCTCTCCTATTTAACAGGCTTTCAAATGTTAGAAGATCAATATTCTGTTGTCATTGGAGTTTCTCCTCTGTACCAGGAAAAGTTCTGATGAATCGCTCTTCAAGCCAGTTTGCATATTCCTCTGTGTTCTAGGTACCTTCTGTAGACAGGCTACCATCAGGCAGTACCCATCTTCAATTATGTCGACACATTGTCCAAAAACAGCCCTGGTTTTATCTCATATATGTTCAGGGAAAAGCAAAACTATCACTTCTCCCCTTCGCTTTTTCTCCAATAGTGCAGTTTAATACAACACTGGCTGTAGGTATGCACCAAAAATATCATTAAAGTGAAAGAGCAGGGCTTGACTGGCTGGGCATGGTGGCTCATGCCTGTCGTCCCTACACTTTCGGAGTCCGAGGCTGGGGAGTCACTTGAACCCAGGAGTTGGAGACCAGCCTGGGTAACTCAGTGAGAATCCTTCCCTACAAAAAATTTTAAAATTAGGCTGGTGTGGTGGCATACACCTGTAGTCCCAGTTAGTTTGGAGGCTGAGTTTGGAGGATCGCTTGAGTCTAAGAGTTCCAGGCTGCAATGAGCCCCTGTACTCCTGCCTGGGTGACCAATTCAGACCCCCAAATCCCAGCAAAGTAATTAAAAAAGGAAACAAGGAAGACAAGAGAAGTACTTTGCAAATACCAGCCTTTCTGACTAAGGTTCTCAACTAGGAAGATTAAGATACAGATGCCAGGACCCAGCCGCATAGATTCTAATTCAAAAGGAATGAGGTGGGGGCTGATTTAACATCGTCACTGGAGTCCATTCAGTTTTGGAAGTCTCTGGGTGGGGCAGTGCAATAGATTTTCCAAAGAAAGCAAAATCACTAGCCAGTGAAATGAGAAAGAGTTTTTGAGGGGGGTAAATAAGACCTGGGCCCCACATGGGAGGACTGTGACCAGGCTTCGTATCCTTGGCTCAGTGCAACCTTCTGCACTAGTCTCCAATCCCGCTGGGTGCTTGTCCAGAATCTCCCTACCATTGGCTCACACCTTTAATTCCAGCACTTTGGGAGGCCGAGGCGGGCAGATCATGAGATCAAGAGATAGAGACCATCCTGGCCAATATGGTGAAACCCTGTTCTACTAAAGATACAAAAAAATTAGCTGGGCATAGTGGCGCATGCCTGTGATCGCAGCTACTCAGGAGGCTGAGGCTGAGGCAGGAGAATTGTTCAAGCCCGGGAGGCAGAGGTTGCAGTGAGTGGAGGTCGCGCCACTGCATTTCAGCCTGGCGCCTGGGGACGGAATGAGACTCTGTCTCAAAAAAAAAAAAAAAAAAAAAAAGGAAAAGAATTATCACAAAACAAGAATGAGAGGGACTATCCACTGCTAGATACCAAAATGTGTTCTAAGATGAAAGTGTTGAAACGGTATGTTGCTAGTGTCACTCCAGGAAAGCATCCTCAAATGCTCTGGGCAAGTAACTTGCTCTAAGATAGGCCTGACTTTGTCTGCTGCCTAAAGGTATGAAAAGTCACAATTTTAAAAGGCACTTCGACCAAAAGCAAAACAAGACCAAACACACATCTGAAGGTCTGAAATGGGGTACGGGGCCCTGGTTTACTATCCTTGATACAATAAACAAAATAGATAGCTCAGGATAAACCTGAGTTTCTATAGGAATGCATTATATGCTATTACGGCATATTTCCATGGTGAAAATGTAGATCATGCAACAAATGGTACTAGGACAACTAACTAATTATTTGGAAAAAAGAAAGATAAAAACAAATTCTCGATGGAATTAAATGTGAAATTAAATGTTCAATGTGAAAATTCATCATGTAGTAGGATATCCAATGGAAATATTTCCCTGTTTTTTCTTTGGCCACTGGTGAGAGAGCCTTCATCTCAGAAGTCACAAGGCTCACAAGTCATATCTGAGTCTCTGAAGAGTTTACAAGCCTAATGTACGAGTTTAAATTCCAATTCAAAGTGTAGCGTCTTCCTTTTTCTGCATCCTCACTGCTGGGAACTAAATATGCCCTCCCACCAAATTCATATGTTGAAACTGTATATTAGTCTGTTTTCATGCTGCTGATAAAGACATACCCAAGACTGGGAAGAAAAAGAGGCTGAATTGGACTTACAGTTCCACATGGCTGGGAGGCCTCACAATCATGGTGGGAGGTGAAAAGCACATTTTACATGGCGATGGCAAGAGAAAATGAAAGAGAAGCAAAAGTGGAAACGCCTGATAAACCCTTCAGATCTCCTGAGACTTATTCACTATCATGAGAATAGCACAGGACAGACCAGCCCCCCCATAAGTCAATTACCTCTGCCTGTATCCCTCCCACAAGACATGGGAATTTTGGGAGATACAATTCAAGTTGAAATTAGAATGGGGACACAGACAAACCCTATCAAACCCTAATCTCTAATGTAATGGTACTTGGATATAGAGCCTTTATGAGGTAATTAGCTTCTAAGGGTGGTGCCCTCACAATGGGTTTAGTGCTCTTATAATAAAACAAGAGCTTTCAGTGAGAATGTGTGTTTTAAGATGTGTGTTTGCTCTCTGCCATGTGAGGGAACAATGGGAAGACAGCCATCTGCAAACCAGCAAACAGACCCTCAGCAGACACTGCCTCTCTTGGACTTCCCAGCCTCCAGAACTGTGAGAGAGAAATGTTTAAGTTTCCCAGTCTATGAGAATTTGTGAGAGCAGCCCAAACTGACTAAGACACTCACCAACATGGTATGTTACCAGTCTCTTAAAATGTGCCAGTCTGATAGGTGAAGTGACTCGTGTATAGAGCCATTTCTTCTTGTGTGTCTCCTGTTCATGTTTGATGCACATTTTCAAAATAAAGTTGCTTTGCATTTTTATTGATTTATAGAAGGTCTTTATGTGTTCTCAAAAGTAATCCTGTGTTTCTTTTGAATGGATTGGTTGGACCCTCACTGGATGCAGCAAGGGACAGGGAAGGATATCAGTGCAGCAATCCATGGCGGACTGACCGATAGTGAGGTACCCAGGCTGATTCACCAAGTCAGCAGAATTAGCTTTCCCTTCTTCTAGGCTTGGGATTCTCTAAAAGCAGAGAGGTACTAATCAGGAGAGGTGGGGCAATAATTGTTCTGTTTACCCTGAAGTCTACATCATGGGGAGGTAGATACAAGAGATCTGCAGTCCCCAGTAATTTTTTTTTTTGAGACAGGGTCTTTCTCTGCTGCCCAGGCTAGAGTGCAGTGGTATGATTACAGCTCATGCAGCCTTGACCTCCCAGGTCTGAACAATCCTCCCACCTCAGCCTCTTTTGTAGCTGGGACTAGAGGTGTGCACCACCCCACCTGACTACATTTTGTATTTTTATAGAGGTGTGGTTTCACCGGTTGCCTATGCTGGTCTTGAACTTCTGGGCTTAAATCATCTGCTCACCTGGGCCTCCCAAAGTTCTAAGATCACAGGCATGATCCACTGTGCCTGGCTATCCCTAGAATGTCTTGAGTGCTCAGGCTCAGTGCAGACTCTTGGTAACCTAAGTTCATCCCATTATAAGTTCACTGTTGCACAAAAGCTTCTCAGATTCCTCCCAGATCTTACCTGCCTCATTTGCCAGGTGGTTTATGATATTAGTGACAGAAGGAAGGGTCCTTCAATGGAGGCAACCTGTAACAGTACCTGCATGGTTCCATTTGCTGGAATACTAATGGTGTTCTAGGCTCAGCCATGCTTGTGGTTACACAAACATCAACACTTTGCAACCTCCTCCTCCTTATCTTGTGTGTCTGTCAGGTGTGTTCATTGACTTCAGTAATTTGATTTCTATTAACCAAACCTAGGATACTTCCCCCTTCTTGTCAGTCATTGTACTGTATTGCCTGGACATAGTGGTTCATGCCTGTAATCCAAGCACTTTGGGAAGCCAAGGCTGGTGGATAACCTGAGGTCGGGAGTTTGAGACCAGTCTGGCCAACACGGTGAAAGCCTGTCTCTACTAAAAATACAACAAAATTAGCTGGGTATGGTGGGGTGTGCCTGTAATCCCAGCTACTTGGAAGGCTGAGGCCAGAGAATCTCCTGAACCTCAGAGGCGGAGGTTGCAGTGAGCCAATATCACGCCACCATACTCCAGCCTGGGCGACAGAGACTCTGTCTCAAAAGAAAAATTTACTATATGATTAATAATGCCCAACATATATATGCAGATATTTTCTGCCAGCTTGTTGTTTGTCTTTTAATTTTATGGTGTCTTTTATCATAGAAATGTAAAATATTTACCCAGCTGAATCCGTTGATCATTCTTTTTATCTTCCCGAGTTTTATGTTTTTTTCAAGTCTTCTGAACTCAAAATTATAAATATATTGACATTTAGAATTGTATTTTTAAATGTTTATTTCTAATTGTAGTAAAATATACAGAACAACAAATTTGCCATGTTACGCTTTTTTTTTTTTTTTTTTTTTTGAGATGGAGCCTCCCTCTGTCATCCAGGCTGGAGTGCAGTGACGTGATCTTGGCTCACTGCAACCTCTGCCTCCCGGGTTCAAGCAATTCTCCTACCTCAGCCTCCTGAGTTGCTGGAACTACAGGTGCACGCCACCATGCCCAGCTAATTTTTATATTTTTAGTAGAAACAGTGTTTCTCTATGTTAGTCAGGATGATCTTGATCTCCTGACCTCGTGATCCACCCGCTTTGGACTTCCAAAGTGGTGGGATTACAGGTGTCAGCCATCACACCCAGTCCATCTTAAGCATTTTTAAGTGGACTGTTCAGTATTGTTAAGTATTATTCACCCTGTCATACCACCAATCTTTAGAACATTTTCATCTTGTAAAACTGAAATTCCATGCCCTCTAATCAATAACTTTCCATTTTGCTCTTCCCCGAGCCTCTGACAACCACCTTTCTACTTTGTGTTTCTATATGAATTTGATTAGGTACTTCACATAAATGAAATCATACAGAATTTGTCTTTTTGTGACTTTTATTTCATTTAGCATAATGTTTTCAAGGCTCATCCATGGGGTAGCATGTGTCAGAATTAACTTGCTTTTAAAGCCTGAATAGTATCCCCTTATATTAATACTTTATTTTGTTTATCCGTTTATCCACTGATGGACATTTGGGTTGAGTCCACCTTTTGGCTATTGCAAACAATGCTGCTATGAATATGGGTGTTCAAATATTTCTTTGAGACTCAGCTTCAGTTTTTCAGAGTATATATATTTAGAAGTGGAATTGCAAGATCATATGGTAATTCTATTTTTAATTTGTTGAAGAAATCATACTGTTTTCCACAGTGGCTACACCATGTTACATTCTCACCAACAGTGCACAAGGGATCTAGTTTCTCCACATTCTCGCCAACTCTTACTTCTGGGTTTTTTTTTTTTTTTTTTGTATAGTAGCCATCCTGATGGATGCAAGGTGATATCTGTGTAAAATTATGTTATTTTTGAGTTACAAAGGTAATAAGTGACTACATTCTCATTATACATCATTTGAACAATAGAAATACATCTGGAGCCTTATTTGTCCACCACTGAATCCCATTCCGAGAGGTGACCGTGCATTCAATACATGTTTGTGTCAAGTATCTGTGATGGGCCTGATGCTCTTCTGGGCTGGGAACACAGCATTGAACAACACAAGTTCCCCACCATTATGGCAAGTGGGAGGAGGAAACAAGCAATGAACAGACACACTGGTGACTACATCTGGGATGTTATCTTCAGGGCACTGCCCTTACAATCATCATGAATGATCATGGGTGGGGAGGTGTGGGGAGTTGAGACAGTGCCCACAAACACAAGTACCTCCCATAAAACCTTCTCACTGGGTTGTTGATCCTTCAGGCCTGTGGGCACAGGGTCCAGGCTCTGTGAGCTTCTTGAGAGCCTATACCAATGTTTCAAGCTGGAAAATAATTACTGGCTCTAAAATGCAAAAAGGAAGTCACAAAATAAAGAATACATGTTTAATTAGATGCTTACAAACGTTAACACACTAACTTCATGAACTGCTAACTTTAGCATTCATACAGCATTTCACACATTTGAAAGTAATCTGTGGATTTAATTTCCTCACTTCTCAAGAATTCTCAATTATGCACAGATTTTGGGGGAAAAAGTGAAGCAAATTGTGAATTAAATGAGTTACTCAGACAAATAATTTCAAAAACAAAATTAGAAAAATCTTTTTGCCTTTTTTTCCTCCCAAATTATTTTTAATGTCGATGGAAGTGAATGTTAATCTGCTTGCAATGGCAGCGTTTAGGGCTTAGTTAAGTTTGGTGCAGGGTTGGGTTGTCTAAAGATGGCCCCAGTGGGTTTTCATTAATACAACTGTGCAAGGCCGGGAACCGTTGCCTCCCTGGACCCAGCCATCTTTTCATGGAATGATTGTATGATTCCATTTTGGCAGTTTGCTGAGGCTGAGGAAGAGGGCACCCTCAGAAGCAGTTTCCGGGGCCACTCTCAGGGAAAGGATGAGGCAGAACACTGGTTGTGCCCATCTCACTGGCCAGTCATGGCTAAGTCTGGTCTTGGAGACCGGCCCCAAACCTCAGCCTGCTCTGTGGCTTGTTCCTGACATGTTAAATGGTCTCCTGTTCTGTTTTCATGACCAATTTCCCAATGCTGGCATTACTGAGAAGAGAACTCCCACTAGTCCAAGCTAACAGCTCTGCTAGGCAGTAGCTGAAATAATGCCTTTCCTTCTGACCTCAGATGTTCTGGAAATGTGGCTCTCTGCCTTCACCAGGAAGTTGACTAATGCTGTATGTCCACATATAGAAGTGACTACTAGTGACCTCTTCACTTAGAAAGACGTAAGTGGGTAAAAAGAAGCTTCTTATGTTCTGCCTCAAGTTATTCCATCCATTTTCTTTTTCTTCTTGCTCAGGTCCCTTCAGTGAGGACACCTTTCTTTATCTCAAGCATTTCAATAGTTATACTTCTCAGTCTTCAGACATCAAATTTGATTTTCTTTTATTTTTTATTTATTTAGTTTTTTGAGGCAGTATCTCATGCGGTTGCCCAGGCTGGAGTACAGTGTTGCAAATATGGCTCATTGCTGCCTTGACCTCCCTGGGGTCAGGCAATCCTCCCACCTCAGCCTCCAGAGTAGCTGGGACTACAGGGACACGCCACCACACCTGGATAATTTTTGCATTTTGTTTTCGCAGAGGCAGGGTTTCGCCATGTTGCCGAGGCTGGTCTTGAATTTGCAGCCTCAAGGAATCCTCTTGTCTCAGCCTCCCAAAGTGTTAAGATTACAGGCATGAGCCACCTTGCCTGGCCCAAATTTGATTTATAAAAAGAAAATGTTTCCCCTGAATACACACCTATGTAGTGGAAGTGTAAAGAGTAACAAATTTAGCATAATCGTTACCACCTCTTGGTCGTCACCAAGAGGTGGAGGGAAGGATATAGCACTGGTGAAGGGAGGCTTACTATATATTGGTAATGAATAATAGTTCAGATTGAGCTCTGGGGACACAGTGCTCATTATTAT